ATTCGGTCAACTCCAAACCGTTATATTTTATCGTGTATCAACATGATGCCTCCAATTTGTTTTTTTTTTTTGCCCGGTTATGTATGGCACCTTCTTTCTGTTGCCCACACTATGTCAGCAAACTGATCGACGACACTATCTCCTAGGACCGGTAGATCGGGTTTTAGTCTCTTGATCGCAGGGCATACATTTTATTGCTTCTCTCTAGCGTCTTGACACCATAATTATGTCCGGTTATACATATAATCACAATAGCTTTCCGTTGAGGGTGCACAGAATGGCCAAAAAGAAATTATAAACCTGATTAATTCGTTCATATTCAATTTAAGCACAGTGAAAGACGTAAGTTTCACGCGATAATATCAGCTAGTGGTGAAAATAGCGCAGCCTCATGCTGAGGTACGTCTTGCGGCTGTGAAAACTGCCCATGATTATGTAGAGAACATCTACGTATTGTCGTGATCGCCAGCTTATGGTGAAAACATGCTGGTTGTAACATTGCTTCCGTCCTTGGGGACGTTACTGTATCCTCCCCGGAGCTTAACGCGATGGAAACTCCTGGAAGGAGATCGTATGGTTTGATGCAACGAGGAATCGCGGCAGCCCAGATTCTGGAATTCTTCCAGCGTCGCGATTCTGAACCGTCAACAGGGTGTCCGACCAATGGGCACACAGTAATTACCTCGAACCGCCAAATCCAATCGGTGGTTCCGTACCGTAACAAAGCGCCTTTGGCTTCCGTCTTGGGATCTATAGAGATCAAGTCAGTACATGCGGTGATGACTAAATTGCGTAGCAAATCAAAGCAGAAGTTGAAATGGAACAGGCTATGCACCGTCATTTTCTCTAACCTGCGAGTCTAATAAGACTTCAACCTGGGTGCGAAGCCAATAAAGCATCTGAGACTATATCCTACTCCATATAGACTAGTTAGAAAGGAGACAGAATGCAAAACCACATGACTGTATGCCGATTAGTTTTGTGTTATTGAGGTAATGTGAATGATGCTATTAAGCCCTAGGAAATACACCAGAAGGGACAAGTAACAATATACACAAAAGCATGTTCAGTCTCTATTCCTATAGACATTAAATAGCGCCAAAATGTTATCGCTCGGAGAACAAAAGGGGACCATTATCCTCTCCTTCTACAACAATCTTGATTTCCTTCGACATAGACTGTATCTGGCCTAAATGCCGGACGTTGGCGATTTCATGTTCTGGAGCAATCTGCAACAGCCCCATGAGGAGTGGGAAAACGGACGATTTCCATAGCACGGGTTGACCCCGACTAACAATCGCTGTAGCCATGAAGAGAGAGATGGACAAGATGACGGTTACTATGGGAAGAATAGCCCACAGCCAACGGACATGAATGAACGTCTCAGTTTGATAAGCTCTTCCGTCAACTTTAGTTTGTCCAACGCCTAAGCGCATATTGTCGGTCATGCTAGTGGCCATTCCCCTGAATGATTCGGTGATGTTGGCACTGTTGTAGAGAACCGTGGCGAAGACGACACCAGGCGGGGCCCTGCCATCACTAAGAACGGTATTGAACGCCGTTGTTAAATGCATGGAGAGCCCTAACCAGGACATCCTATCGATAGAGTAGGTTGAGTTGTCTGATAAGGTATTTTTCCCATCTATAGGTATTAAAGTCGTGTTACCCCAACCGTAATCGATGCGCTGTAGAACTTGGGTTCTTGAGGGTTGAAGACTGCGTTTGTTCTTCGAAACATGGTTCTGTGTATACTGTTTTTCACACAGCTGAATTGAGCATTGTATCATCTCAGGCCTTTGCTCGCTCACACTCGTGTTCTCAGTAGTGTACGTAATAGGCTCAGGACTGTACTTTGTCATGGAGATGTAGGCAATGTCCGAAAGATTATGTGTGTTCGGACTGGTAGCTATAAAGCTATCACGATATATTTCAATAGTGTCATTGGAAGTGGAGGGCGAATAAGTTTTTGGAGTAAATGAAAATCCATTCGGCGTTGAGTAATGGCAGTCAATAGGGATTGATGCAGCCATTTTACGGAGGGCAGGGGTTGTCGGGCTGGAGAGGATTTCATGCCAATTCGACCATTTCTGGGTGAAGTTCCATCCATAATATGGACTTGGAATGGGTCGGCAGTCTTGTGTAGCTGTTTCTGTAACATTTTCACAAGACGTGCAAATCCCAAGCGTGGTAAAGTCGGGATAATCACAGGATTCCGAAGGACAATTTGCTGCGAGAGGAGCGTTTGTTTGTGTCAATCCATTGAACATGGCAATCTGCATAGTATGATCCATTTGAAATGTGCTCCGTTCCCATTTGGTATGGAACTCCTGCGCTTTAAAGACATATGCAGTCTCATTTAGTACTCGTACTTGTCGTGATGGAAATGCTAAGATCTGCTGTGTAAAAGGATCAATCGCAACAGCGAGGACCATCAGTCCAGCTCCAGCCCATGCCAGAAATGACCTCAAGTGCCAAAATATCTTTAGGGACCCCCAAGGACCACGGCTGGCTTCATCAAGAAGATGGAAATGATAGAGCGGCGTTGGAGTTCGATCGAGGCCCTGTTTCCACTTCAACTGGCTGAGACAGACCGAAACTAAAACAAGCATCGCTGCCTTCGCGAAAGTCGCAATGACAGAGATGACTGCATTAGGAGATATAGAATATTGCCAGCTGAGATAGGCTTTCCCATCCACGTATCCCAGAAAGCCTATTAAGAGGGCAAGGTAGACGACACTGAGAATGGCACACCCGATTTCCCAGATCCAGGAACCTTCCCAGTCGCAATTTTCGAATGTCTTCTTGGCACGTGAAAGCTTTGTCTCTTGCTTAAATACCATGTCTTTGGTTGGTCGAGGAGCGGCTTGGGATTCACTGTCTCTGTTTGATGACATTGACAGTGTATCCATTTCATGTGGTTCCAACATATGGGCAAGAAAGGTGTAGCCCTGAAATATGAGAGAGGCACAAGTATACACAGAGAGGGAGTGAGATAGTGAGGGAAGGAGGTAGTAAATGAGAATAAATAAATCATACAGCACTTGGCTTAGAGCGAGTTTTGTAGTCTAGTCGAAAACTAGGCATTGAAAAGGCTAGGATCTGCAGACAAGGCTGTGCAAGGCTGTGCAAGGCTGCGGACACGAGGTCTTGTGCGAGTAGACATTTCAGGCTTTCAATATCTTCGTCTATTCACTTTCGCCGCACATTGTGAAAGGGTCAGTGTGGTAGTCGCGGGACCTAGGGTGATTCTCACCCTGTCGGTAGCGCACTCACCATTATCAACACCCGCGACCGTAAGGATATCTCTATAAGATATTATACAATGGAGAATCAATACACACACACACAATTTATTAACGCCCGGCGGCTAAGCCGAAAGGGCAACTATCTCTGATCTACTATACATGTCATAATATATATAGTACTATGTCTCCTTAGAGCCCATATATAAAGCCTTGCAATATATGTCATCTCAGATGTCCGTGTCGCAGCGGATCCTCGTGGGTTAGTAATTTGGTTAGTAGGCTGGCTTGAAGGCGCTTCTCTAAGTGTTCAACATCCTATTTTCGGTAGTTGAAGCGCGTCTACTATCTATAACACGAGGTGGTTAGTAGGTTAGATCGGCGAAAAAGTGGGGGTGATTTATATTCGTTAGTATAGTTAGGTGGCCTCGAGTCGGCCCGTAGCGATAGCGAATCGTATTAAGGCCCGTACCGCCTCTAAGTTCGGCGTCCACTTCTAATTATCGGAAGGTGACTTTCCTCCTAGGAAGAAGGATATATTTCCTCGGTAGGTATTAGTATATTATAGTAGTTCCGTCCGGTACGCCGTCTATTTTTAATATCGAAATAGGAAGTGCTCTATAGTCTCTCTCGCTTATCTATATACACACTAGTCCGTGTCTATCACGTTAATTCGATAGAGATATCTATTAAGTCTTACTATACCGGTTCGGAGTTAAGCTAGTACGCTCGCTTCTTTCTAAGATAATCGGTTATATAGCTACTAGGTATATTTACCTAGGAGTGCTATATTAACTCGTTTTATATATCTCCCTACGTTCGCTAGTAGGTTATTACTAGGGACTACTTAGGATCGTGCGATATTTAATATTATTAACTTTATTCTTAGGACGCGTTCTTATAGGATAGTATCTTCTTATATCGTAGCTCTAGCCTATTCTTTAGCTAGACCCTATAGTTTATTATCTTCGCTTATTAAGATCTACCGGATATTAATCTAGTTTCTATTTTTCTATAGCTTTCTTATTAATTTATATAGTTAGTAGACGAATTCCTAGCCTAACTATTATTAAGGATTTCTTAGTGTTAGAGCCGCCGCTTTATTACTCGTAAGTAGCGTAATCCTATAATCTTTTAGACTAACTACTATATTTAGCGTATATACTATCGCTATTAGCTCTATAGAGAATAGATTTTACTCTATTCTTATAGCTAATATAACGGAAAGGGTCTTTAGTTTTAGTTTTCGATACCGAGGTAGCTATCTCTTAATCGCTATCCTAAATCCGACTAGCTCGTTCCGTACTAAACTACTAGTTACGATCTATATTAACCCGCCTAGTACGGTTAGTGACTATAGAGTTACTTTAACGCTAGCCTATACGCGTACTTCCTATAGTGCTAATATAAACGGATTAATAGTTTCTAGTGTTTCTATCTTAATATTCTTTAGCGCGTCTATTACTTAATATAATAGCGAGCGATAGAATCTTCTAAATTTCTTAATCCGTGCTATATTCCTATAGAGAGGGTTAGTTTCTAGTAGGGTATATATATCCGTCTATATCTTTATAGCTCGTCTCTAGAAACGGTATTAAACTATAGTAAGGTAGGCCTCCGCCTCCGCTATACTAGTTATAACTATAAGGAATATTCCTATAATCGCCTACGCTCCTACCCTTTAGACGTGGTAGATCGGCCCTATAGCCTTATCTTTATACGCGTATATCTAGATATTAGACGCGTAGTCTATAACCGGCGCTACTATCGATATAAATAGCTACCGCGCTATCGCTAGGGATAAACCCTAAAGTCTTCGAAGCTCTATCGCGGCTTCTAGGCCCTTAGATACTACCCTTATAATATATTCCTTATACTTAAGTTTCGTATCTATAAGGACGCCTAAGATCTTAATATAATCCTTAGGCGTAATAGTTTATCCCTTAATAGTGAAAGGTCCCTAGTCTAATTTATAAGCCTTAGGAGTAAAGTGTATAATAGCTATTTTATCTACTTTAAAAATCGCTCCGCTCTATATTTCCTAGTCGAGCGCTTTATTAATAATTACTTTAATACCTTCCTAGTTACTCTAGGCTATTAGCCCGGTTATCTATATAGTAAAATCGTTTATAAACGCTATCGCTCCGCCCTAGCTATTAATCTATCTTTATATAAGATCCGCGTTAAAGAAGAGGAATAGGATCGGGGATAAGGGCGAGCCCTAAGGTAGGCTAGCCTATAGAAGGCCTTAGACCTCCGATACTTATCTATTAATTTAGATAGTCGCTATTCGTTCCGAGTAGAACGCTTCTACCTACTAGATTAGGTTAACTAGTATATCTCGCGCTTTTATTCTCTAGAGTAGTCGTTCTTTATATACCCTATTATAGGCGCCTTTAATATCGAAGCTAATTAAACTTAATACCTATTAGCTACGCTACGCTATATAGATCTACTCTTATAGGAGTATAAGCGCCTACTCCGCGGACTATTACTTTCGGGCTCTAAAATAGCTAGTTAGGAGTAAGCTATATATCTCTACCGCGTGCGAGATCCTTTCTATAACTATAGATTCTAGTATTTTACCTAGTATCGCGAGGAGCGAAATTAGCCTCTATACCTTTATAATAGTATAGTTTTTCTTATTCGGCTTTTTAAGCGGTATAATCTTTATATATCTCTACTATCTTAGTAATATACCTTCTTCTAGTAACGCCTAGAATAAGTCGAGAACCCTATACTTAACTATAGGCTACGTTATCTTCTAGACTATCGCCGGTAGACCGTCTTCGCCTAGCGCCTTCTATAATTTCGCTATAAAAAGCTATCGTTCTACCTCCTCTAGGCCGATAGTAGGTATTTCTACTAGCTCTCTTTATAGTCTAGTCCCCTCGTCGTCGATAATATTAGGTAGAGGGGGAAAGAACTTAGATAGTAGCTCTTCTACTTACTCTTAATAATCTATAGTAGTAGTCCTATCTACTCTAACGAGCTATAGTAGCTTCCCGAATACTATATCCTCTCCTAACTTTAGATATTTAGCGGCTTTCTAGATATTATCGTTATCTATAAGAAACTTATTCTAGTACTACTTCTTTTATTTATAGATAGTATTATAGTATTATTTCGCCGTACTTTAGGCTATCTTTTCTAGGTATAGTACTTTTCGCCCTACCTAGCGCTCCGAGCGAGTATAATTTCGCTAGTATATATATATATAGTATAGCTATATTAGGTTAGCTATCTACTATCGTTTCGCGTATAGTAATAGTTTTACCTTAGGAGTTAAAGTATATACCGCCTCGCTAACCGCTATTATAAGTCGGTTAGTCTTCTACTATACTATACCTCCTAATAGAGTGGTAGTTAGAGTACTCGCGATTCTAGTATTAATCCTATAGTACGTTCTTTAGTAGAAGTCGTTCCTAATACTTTAGGGCTAACTATAGTATATCGAATATAGTCTTAATAGTACGGTAGTCCGAGCTATACTCTATCCTATATATCGTACACTTAGTTATTAAGTCTATTAAATTATTAGAGGCTAGGACGAGGTCGATAGTCGACTTATAGTCCCCGCTCTATCTACTACTATACTACGTCTTTATACCTCGTTTAAGTAAGCTACTAAGAGTAAACTCGGTTATAAGGTTAATAATTAGATCCGCTTCGCCCTATCTTCCTAAGGATACCTCGTCTCCTCCCTAGAGTTAGTTATAGCGGTTAAAGTCTCCTATAATTATAACCTCTACTATAGCGCCTATATCTCGCCGTACCTTTATAATTACCTTTCTTAGGTGATTATACGCGTTAACTAACGCTAAGGTATCTCCCCCCCTTAACGTAAACTAATACTATAAAAATTAGTCGCTTAGAGAGTCGGATAACCGCCGCTATTAGATCTAAGGATTCTATAGCTACTTACTCCGCTTCTATATCTTTATTAACCTAAAGTATATTTCGGATCGCCTATCTATCTTCCGTCTAGGCGGAGGGAACTATTTTCGTCTACTTATAATATCCTATTAGGGTTATTAAGAGCCTACTATAGATTCTCCTCGCTTAAGGTTCTTAGATCGCTAATACCGCTATATCTTAAGTTTATTTATTATTTATTAAGCTATTATATACTATACCCTATTTTCTTACGTTTAGTTAGATAATATAGAAGGTTTTACTTATAACGCGATAGATAGAGCTTCCGGTAGTTCTTACTATACGATTTATATAGGCCTCTATATAGAACGCACTTTAGAACCGTTTAGTTATAGTTACTATAGCGATAGCCCTTTATAGCGTATCTTATATACTTCTAGACGTTCTTATACTAGAATACTTTATATCTAATCTCCTAATAATTATAATAATATATCGGTCGTAGGCGATATTTAAAGGTGCTAGTCACGCCGGATTCTCCCCTAGCGTAGAAGAACCCGTTAGTAAGGAGCCTCCGCGTATTAGTGAGATACGTAGAGCTCTATAAGGTCATATAAACGAGGTTTACGTGACTATATAGAGCTAGGTACACGTGACTAGATTAAGCTAGGTACATATGACCGTATAGACGTGTATATAGTAGTCTAGTACTCCTAGTCTAATATAAACCATACGATCCTTTCTAAATCATATTAGTGCCCCTAGTTAGGTAAATAACTATCGACCTATAGGCCTTTACGCTTTCCTTTCTACTAAACTATACGATCTTAGTAATAGTAACTTCGTTCTCCTCGCTAAAGGCCACTATAGCTCTAGCTCGGATCTTATCTTTTTCGTTAAGAACTACGGCCCGGTTAACGCTATCGACTTTAATCGGGTAAAGCTTATTATAAAGCACTCGGGCTCCTTCGCCGATCTTTACTTCCGCTACTTTCTTAACTAGCTAGTATTTAGCTTTATCGCGATATACTATTCTAATCCGGTTTATATTTTTCGGATCTACTATAACGGCGCGATAGCGCTAGTACGTATACTTTTCTATTATTCGGATCTCTATTTTAACCGCCGCCCGGATCGGACCTACGGATATCTTCTCACTTTCGTTATTTACTATCTTTAAAGTGTCTATCGTATAATATAACGTATCGGTAAAGGTAGTTAGTATCGTGTTCGATAATAAGAGAGTCCGTATATTACTCGGGTAGCTAGTTAGGGCGGTACGGGTAATATCTATATAGGAAGGGGATCCCGTAGTAAGGTCTATAGGACTAATTATAATACGTAAGGATTAGATTTCGCGAAGGATCTTATCGTGACCGTTCTAGGGGCATGGTTCGGAAAGGGGTTACGGTATAAGGGGTCTATCTATTAGGGTCTATAGCTCGTGTCGAACTTCTATAAGGGCGGCGCTAAATTCTTCCTTAACTTTCTATAGTTCTTCTTATACTTTCTACATCTCTTCTCTATATAAACCATCTCGCCGTTTGATGTCTCTCCTAAGTTTTATAAGCTCTTTCACTAGGTCGGCGACGTCTAGGTCGTCGCTCTCGGTTAAGGTATCGTCTAAAGTTACCGCTTCATATTGGGCTATAGGCTTGCCCTAGGCCTCATTCTTCCGCTGGGAGCGCGCGTTTCTCTGTTAGATGTCGATCTCTTGATCTTAGCCATAGTTTTTAGGCGGTCTGGTGGTGCGTCTCGGTCTCGACAATCGTGGCGGTGACTTTTCGTGTTCGTCGCGGTCGGGCGGTTCAGGGGTTCGCGTCTCGGCCCGTCCCGACATTTCTTGGACAAATCGCGAATTTAAATGCTATACCTCTCTTCGTACGGTACCTCTTCGTCTGACAAGGTACAGGATGCCTTTTGATATAGTCACTAGCGAAATCTGCTTCCTCCCTAACACTTGCTATACTTTTCTCGGGACCCACTGCCAAGGCACTAGCGACAAAATTAATTCAACGGGCATCAATATAAAACCCTTCCTGAATGTATTGAGTTGTAACTTACAGCGAAATTACCATTTCAAATATACTCAACATTTACATTGTTTTTGGTGAGGGTGTGCTCAGTATTGGGTACACGTGATCATTGTCTTGCAGGACGATTGGCTATGGGAGATTCATCGATGGTTGCCGCCCTCGAATTACTGCTTGCTTCCATGAATAATTCTCCGTTTTACCGCATCAATTTATAAAGTCAGATTACGACCATAGTAATTCATTTTTTTTACCCCTGCATTTAATTCGACCAGTTTTTTGATTCCCGCTGTATTGTGGGATCTTGACTTACGCCAAGGACGCAGAATTCGGACGGCCCTCATGATTTGAAGATTCGATGCTGATGTTTTCCCTAATCTGGATTAGTGACTCCCCATCCCAAAGAATATCATGGAATATTACATCGGGGTTGGAAAGAGCGGATTATGGTATTTCCATGCGCCAGTCAACACGTCACTTGGTGAGGGAGATCAAGGCGGGGTTGATTTACTATTGGTGCCCCTTTCGGTGGAAGTGGGCCCACGAAACTTGGCCTTGAGGGAGGTTTCGGTGCGGCGCGCCCCGTTGCCAATAACAGAACAAACTTCCCCAGGAATGGGACTTCATGGAAGGCCACACTCGTCAGATATTTGTGCCAACAACCGTCAATTGCACCACACAATAAATTGGACAAGATGAGTGCATTCCAAGGCTGATCTTGGCATTTCTTTGCTTCGATGGGATTGAGAAGACGGCTCCTGCCAATAGCATCTCTTCTCTTACCGCTCGCTGCTGCACGTCGTGTTCATCATGAGGCTGAGTCTCCCCAGTTGGCCTACATAGTATTTTCATGAGTACTGCAGCCCCCTCCCACTTCGCGTCCAAATGCCTGTTGCCCGATATGATAATCTGTAGGTGACAGCATAAAAACACATGGTTGGGGTCAATGGCGAAGTACATATGCCAAGCGTACTAGGTGTGCCGTGTGGACATTAACACCAATGGGGGGTTTTGGGGGCTAAAACAGGCCACGAAGATCATTTCCACATCCACGGGGACATTGTTAAACTCAGCCTCATTTAATTAAGGGGGAAGTGGTCAAGTTACCCCATACTCTAACCCATGTTCCTTTTACATCTCTGCACACTTGTCTTTATTCCAAGCCTGTGGATATCTACCGTACACAGCGGAGCACAACTCCATCCCAAGTATGGGTAGTGAGGATATATGGCCCCGTGCCAAATCTCTGTTCGCTGGCCAACGCTATCATGGAGTTTCCAGCACTCAAACCGAGAAATCAAGTCTCAAGTTTTCACACCGGATAGAAGGACAGGAAAACATGGAGGAAAATACCGAGGCACAGGTCATTGAACACGAGTCATCCAACCCCCCAAAACCACACTGGATTAATGGCGTCCTTCTCTGTGCCAAGGCATCTGCCGTTATGCTTCTGCTGAATCTCATCTTCATTGCTGTCGCTGCTGGACTATCCAACCGAAACCCGGAGAACGGCGGATTCTCCAGCATCCAAGTAATGTACCAGGGCAGCTGTGCCTTGTCCAAACGATGGAACATCGCCCTGCATTTAATAATCAACGTACTCAGTACTGGAATCTTGGGTGCTAGTAACTACTGCATGCAGTCACTGGTCGCGCCGAGTCGGGAAGAGGTTGACAAATATCATGCGCAAGGCCGGTGGCTTGACATCGGGTCCTCCAGCGTGAGGAATCTCTTTGTCATTGGACGACCTCGGCTCAGTCTGTGGTTGGTACTTCTTATCACAGGTACCCCCTTTCATTTGTTGTAAGTTATCAGAAGAGGTCTACGAGACTGAAGACAGGGAATTGACACAAGTTGGCAGGTACAACTCGATGGTTTTCCAATCCGTGGCCGTAAACGAGTTACGCGGTCTTGTTGGGCCTGGGGATTTGAATTCTTCCAATGTCGCAAGCTTGAAGACTCCTACCCTTGACCGGTGTTTTACCATAGCCCCGACATATAAGGGTGGAGATACTGAATGGTCTCCTTATAATGATCGCGAGTCATATTATCACTCGAGTGATGGGTTTCCCGAGGGTAAGTTGAATTGGCATGACTTTTCCTCTGACATTGCGGCGGGCAACTACGAGCGCCTAGATGCTCAGGAATGTAACAAGCTTCACAGTTTCAACGAGAACAGAGGGGCAAAGTTGGTCGTCATGCTCACGAACGAGTTGTCTGTGAGCCAAGGTGGAACTGATGCGATCTTCTGGACGGACGGGCTATCGGGTTTCCCCGATCATGAAATGATGGGGTTCAATTTCGCTCGCAAGAGTTTGGTGGTCAATCTTCTTGAGTCTGGTCGTGACCATTACTACAAAAACGAAAACTTCACGTATCAAGCCTGTATGGACACTTTGGATCAAAATACCTGCTCAGATGCCCTCTTTCTGCTTGACTGGGCCACCCGGCAAAAAGAGCCGCCGACGCTTGAGAGCGCGAATCAATACGTCCAGTCGTATAGTTCATCTGTCGTTACGGCCATTAGCTATGATGAGATTTGCCATGAGGATGATATAGCGGCGCCTGAATCACACACTTATCACGTCAATGGATGTCTTGTGCTCAGAACTGAAAATCGATGCCAGCTGCTCTATAGTCCACCGATTTGCATTATCATTGCTCTTGCGACTTTTGTTAAAGTCGTGGCAATGTTCCTGTCAGCAAGAATAGGTCGCCATCGATCGCCGCCTTTACTCACCGTGGGCGATGCAGTGGCGTCCTTCATGGAGAAGCCAGATTCTACGACAGAGGGGATGTGTTGGTTAACCAACGCTGATGTCCGTAAAGGGGTGTGGAAAGTCTCTCAAAGGACAGAGGATCCAGCCGAGGAGCCTTTGGGGGGAGTCAGCCAGCGAAAGCCGATGGTATACAAGCGATTGTCGCGACGCAAGCTCTGGATGCAAGCCCCAAGCCTCAAGCGCTGGATAACGACCCTTACCTTGTAAGCGCCCAAACATCTATACGCACTTTGACGATTCTAATAGATAATCTAGATGTTTCGCACTGATTGCTGTCGGAGTATTTTTGTTCGAACAAGCCCTCGACTCAACAGGAAGTCGTTTGTTGACGCTCTCTGTGCTCCGTCAGCTGTGGACAGAAGGGTTCTCTGGCGCTGGGCCATCAACAACTCTCGTTGACTTGGGAAAGAGATTGCCTGCTTTGAGCAATGTGGTGATAGCTAATATACCACAACTGCTCATCACGGTCAGCTATTTCTTCTACAACAGCGTGCTGACTAGCATGCTCGCGACTGCCGAATACAGCTCTTACGGGACAAGTTCAAAGCCCCTTCGAGTGACATGGCCCATCAAAGGCAGCACGCAGCAGTCAACGTACTGGCTATCCATGCCATATCGATACGGAGTCCCTCTGATCGTGATCTATATGGTGCTCCACTGGTTGATTTCCCAGTGTGTCTTTTATGTTCGTGTCAACGCGTATGACTGGGTGGGCCGACAGATCCAACACAATTCGATTAGCTCCATGGGCCATAACCGCCTGGCTATATTTATTTCTATTCTTGTGGGCGCTTTTATGGTCTGTTTGTTGATTGGGGTATCCTTCAGAAGGTTCAAGTCGGAAATGCCACTGGCGGGGGCTTGTAGTGCTGCGATTAGTGCTGCATGCCATCCGCCGAAAGATGAGGATTTGAGTCACGTCGCCAGAGGGCCGGTGATGTGGGGTGAAACTGTGGCGTCGTCATCGTGGGGGGATTTTGGTGCAACTGAGGATGACAAGGGGCATTGTAGCTTTACATCTTTGGAGCCAGTAGAGCCTTCGTTGAGCAAGATGTATGCTTAGAATGATGTGCTAGGTAGAAATAGGTCATCGTTAATATGTATTCCGCTAAAAATTGTCAATCCGCCTCATCCAAGCCCAACCCAGCCCATTGCGCAGCCCCTGGAGGTGTAGGCGGGTTATTACTGGCCTCCTGGTCCTGAGGTCTCTTCTCCGTTTATTCAATATCATATCCTAACCGGGAAACGGTATATCCGGAGTAGCATATATAGGCGATAAGTCTATCCAATAATACTAGTCTAACTGCTTCTAGCTGTTCTAGTGCCGTGGCAACCTTTGTCGTCCTAGCAACTTCCAACCTCACATACTTTCTGCTGATAAGCCTTCCCTTTGACATCACTGTGACCATGCACACCACTCCACAACAGATCCTCCACATTGAGGACGCTCCAGTATCTGATGACAACCCGGCCCGTGATGACGGCACTCTCGACTATGAGCGATGTGCCAGACTACACAATTATCTGGTCGCATATGGCTGGATGGCCCGCAATGGAAAAGACACGCCCGACCTTGATGCGCTAGCCAGCGAAAAGTGGTTTTTCCATGAAGCAAACGAGGTCGAAGCTACTCGGGAGCGTGTTGACGCGCCGCTTAACAAGTTTCTAGATCTAATCTATGATCCTAGGCCACCCTTCTTCTACTGGATTGATGGTTTTGTTATGGAGCCCAGCGACGAGTATTTTATCGATGAAAACGAGATGGAGGAGGATAAGGAGCGACTTGTCTTAATTTATCGCACTATTGCAGATCTGGGCGGACATAACCTCGGCGTTGTCTATGACCAGCAGCTCAATCGGGTCTCGTTCCCAATGACTACGGACAATATGGAAAGTGTGGAGCCTATTGACGAGCACGAGGAAATGTGGTTCCCGCTGGAGACTATTCTCACCCAATGGATCTATATGACTCGGATTGGTAAAGCTGTTCCTGGGCTTCCTGAAGAACTTCCTTCTGGTGAACCCCCGACGAATAGATCGCAATTTTATCTGTGGTCGTGGCTCCCTTACTGCGATGCCCAGATTGATAGCACTATAGCTGCAATGGAGCGCTACTCAGCTACGGTCGAATCTCGAATGCCTCCTGGCTCACTTCTGCCTATCTCTGCGCCGCTCTTTACCAGTGCGGAACTGGATGCAGCGGCCGTGCCGCAGGACTGCTTCATTCGCTCCCTCTTAACAAGAGTTAAAACCCCGCGTTTTAAATTCATCGCACCTGGGCTAGAGGTCCCGCATGATAAGGAGGCGTTTGCGAGGCGCTAGAGGTTTACCAGCATACCCCGTGAAGAGGATAGCATCCCAGGGGTACTGTTATTTGCAGCTTCAGACCGGTTGGTGGATCTCAACCCGGAGATTCGTCGTTTATTCTCTACCGCACATGACAATGTGAGCATGAACGACAACCACCCTGTTCCCACTGGGCTCTACAGTGAACCTGTGCGTCGAAGAGATTATGATATGGAGGAAGCAGGTTTCCGTCTCGTGCTTCCATTTGCACTACGACCTGGTTTCTTCCGAGATGAGGATGGGGCTAGGATGAGTGATGCTTGCGCGAATGTATAAAGAGCTGCGTCTGCCGGGGTGAATGAGAGGGAAATATATCCAACAAGACTCTGTCGTTCCTACACGATGAGGGCATCCAGGCTGGTGCTGCTGTCTGCGGCCAGTGGTCTGGTCTCTGCCCTGTCACAGTTTGATCGTCTCAAGTGGAACAAAAACCCCTGCCCAAGTGCCTGCGACCCCAGCGGCGATACCAGCAAGTGGTTCACTTCCCACAGCGTGGACGAATTCGCGGCCTGCAACGAGCCACTCCTGCTGAAATTGAATCTCTACAACCTCGTCGACGACGATGCCACTCACACCACCATCCGTGCCTGCACCCTGGGCAATGCGAAGAGCGAGGTGAACTTCCTCGCAGCCTCTGGCTACGTCGCCCCCGATGCCTTGGGTGCCACCAACTTTGGCCCCGCCAATTATCCCCCGTCGTCTCTGCAACGACGCGATGACTCGAGTTTGACTGCGAATGAGGCTGCCTGTGGTGCCGGCCCGGCCATTGCGTCCAGTGCCACCGTTTCCCGCACACAGGAGGAGTCTACCAAGTCTCCCCTTAGCAGCAAGGCACTCGAAGATGCGATCCGTGCCACCGAAGCGCTCCGCTGAAGCCTCAACCAGGACACCGCCAGCTGCGGACAGAAAACGATCAGATTTGCTTATCTCCATGGCACGCTCGTTGGTCTCTATTCCGGATCCCAGATCGATTTGATGCAGACCTCCGATGCCATGTTGGACCAGTTGGTCGCCGCTCTCGAAGAGCAGGACACAGGCTCTGCCCCCGCCATTGAGGCACTCGACATCCGCGCGGGCCACTGCACGGCCAGCCACATCTTCGGCGTCGTTGCGGACCCGACGGGTGATTTCACCGCGGTCCAGACGATTATGCAGTCATAGAATGACGGGAAAGTGCGTTCCGCACCAGCTAAAGCTCGAGTCCTGTCTGCTGGCCCACCTTCCCTGTGGATCTTCCCGGCCAACAACGACACGGAGCCACAGCGACGCAGCCATCTGCGAGACCTCCACCCCCGAGCAGAGTGCCGGTATATCCGGGTCGAGGGCGGCGACACCTGCCCCTCGCTCGCCACCCGCTGTGGCATTGGACTCACAGCCCTCAAGAGCTTCAACAAAGGCATAGCCAACTTTTGCGATGTCGTCGAGCCTGGCCAGGCTGTGTGCTGCTCGTCCGGTACGCCGCCGCCGGTTGGGCCCCGACCCAACGCCGATGGTTCTTGTAAGTACCACGAGGTGCAGCAGGGCGAGATCTGCGATACCATTGCCGCGCAGTATGGGATCACGACGGCGGATCTGTTTGACCTGAACAAGAAGACCTGGGGCTGGGATGGCTGCGAGCTCCCGGTGGGTCTGCGCATCTGCGTCAGTAACGGCAACCCTCCACTGCCTGGATCGGTGTGGAACGCCGACTGTGGTCCAACAGTACCAGGAACAGAGGCCCCGAAGGACGGTGAGGAGCTGGCGGAACTGAACCCGTGTCCGTTAGATGTCTGCTGCAATATTTGGGGCAAATGCGGCACCACCGTGGACTTCTGTATCCCCTCGAAGTCGTCGACGGGCAATCCAGGCACCTCGGCCCCCGGGGAAAACGGATGTATCGACAACTGCGGCATAGAGATGGTGAATAACGATGACGCGCCAAAGGAATACCGGAAGGTCGGCTACTTCGAGGGCTGGAATTACAACCGCCTTGTCTGAACATGCATGTCGACGACATCCCCGATGGCTACACGGACATTCACTTTGCCTTTGGCGAGTTCTCGTCCGACATGAAGGTGATCATCAAAGACGACCATCAGACCCAGTGGAAGGCTTTTCTCGGTGCAGACCGCGACTACCGCAAAATCCTCTCGTTTGGTGGATGGGAATTTTCCAACGCACCTGCCACCTCGGGCCTCTTCCGCCAGGCAGTCTCGCCGGCAAATCGGGAGACCTTCGCAACGAATGCAGTCTAGTTCGCTGTCGACAACAACTTGGATGGACTGGACTTTGACTGGGAATATCCAGGCGCCACGGACATCGAGGGGTCAGAGCCTGGGCAGGAGGACGATGGCGAGAACTACCTCGAGTTTCTCAAGCTGGTGCGGGAGAAGCTGCCGGACGACAAGTCCCTTTCGATTGCTACGGCGGCCTCTTTCTGGTATCTCAAGGGTTTCCCGGCCAAGGACATGGCCCCCGTGGTGGATTATTTCATCCACATGGCGTATGATCTTCACGGTGAGTGTCTCCTCCCCCCCCCAGGTCACTGGTCGCCATTACTAACGCATCCTTCAATCCAGGGCAATGGGATGTCGGCAGGGAATGGTCGATGGAAGGATGTCCAGCCGGCAACTGTCTTCGGTCCCATATCAACTCCACGCAGACGCACGGCTCCCTAGTGATGATGACCAAGGCCGGCGTCCCATCGCACAAGATCGTCGTGGGCGTGACTAGTTACGGGAGGTCGTTCAAGATGGCTGACGCGACCTGCCGCGGCCCATTGTGTATGTTCTCTTTCCATCTGGCCCTCCTACCGAGCATGTGATGTAACAGCTCACCCATGAACAGGTACTTATCTCGGCGAGGGGAATGATTCGCCTGCAAAGCCCGGCCGTTGTACCGAGACCGGTGGCTACATCTCCAACTACGAGATCAACGAGATCATCGAGGATGGGGGTGCCATCAAGAGCTGGTATGACGAGGAAACAGATTCTGACTACCTGGTCTATGACTCCGTCGAGTGGGTGGCGTATATGACCGACAAGACCAAAGACCGCCGGCGTGACCAGTATAAGGGTCTGAACTGTGGTGGTACGACTGACTGGGCCATTGATCTCCAGGGCGTGAGTTCCCATCCTACCTACTGATGCATCATCGACCACCGCTAACCACAAGATATTATAGGAAGGTCGGCGTGCAAGACAGGGGACCCGGTCTATCTGGACCCTATTGTCTGCCAGGAGCCCAATGCCTTGTGCAAACCCCCCTGCGTGCTCGTTTTTCCCCCCAGTCAGCTTCCCTGTCAACTATAGTTGTTCTTAATATTGATTATTCATCTTGAAACACTATCCACCTCTATATATACGTGAGACCCTCACAACTATGAGTCTGATTCCTAGGAGCGACTAAGAGCGTGCCTATAAACTATTATATAGAATCCTAGGGCCGGATATAATCCTAGGAACGTGAGTCTTACTCCCGAAATAATATAGAAAAATAAATCGTGTGGAGTACTTCACGTTTCTATTTCTGAAATTTCCGTTATAAATAAACTTAGTAGCTAAGCCAATAAGTAAGGTATAAGAATGGCTTAGGTTTAATGCCTAGGGAATCTGGTATAAAGTTGACACTAGATAATTCTTCTAGGTAGATAGGATAATATAGTTCTTATAACAGACTTAGGGGCGCCTAGGTATTAGGAAATTAAATTCGCGTGATTAATAGTGGGGAGTTTCCTATAGCTAATTATACTTAATAAACACCCTATTTCTTTCACTACGTTTTTTTTAAAAAATATTGAATTAATCGGTTTATTATTCTTTTCGACTATTTTGTAGTTAGATTGCCGAGGGACAATCAATTTAATTAGTTAATCACTAGCTATAAACCTACTCTTACCCGTTAACCTTTATCCTTTCACTAGTATTAATTAGCCTTTAACACTCGTTTATAGCTCCTTATACGCTATTATTCTACCCTTATTTATTCTATAGTGTAGTTATTATAGAAAGTATCTTTTTTTTTAGTTAACTAAATAGCTATTATTAAATACGTGGTATAAAATCGACCGACTATAGAGGCCTAAACGATTTTACGTAGTTAACTTAGAGCGCGACTCTTAAGGTTTAGGAGATATATATAATAGTATACGGGGCCTAGGAAGCGTAGGTATATTCGGCTAATAGTAGTAATTAGTAGTAATTAACTACTATACTCTTATCTAGGAGGCTACGTCTCTTACCTACTATCCGTTTATTACTTTTTATCACTACTTTTAAATAACTAATATAACTAACCTTTACTATTTCCGGTTTAACTACTTAATAGTTAACTCCTAGTTAATTACGAAATTATCTAAGTTACTTATATTTATATACGCTTACCCCGTATCCTAAATACCCGAAATATTCACCTTAACGTCTTAAGTCGAGCCTCGATTTCTATAAAAAATCGACTCCTTACTATATCCGACCGATATCGTATATAATTTAGGATATTACTTAGCCTAGAATATCGTATAGCTATATATTAGCTTTATATTTATTCCTATAGTTAGTGTTTTAGCGTATTAAGAATAGTCCTATTTTTAGAATAAACTATATAGAGAGACGCCTAAAGATATAATTCGAAAATTTAGGTATAGATACTAATATTCCCTAAAGCTCTATCCTATCCTTACGTGTAAGGTATATACTAGATAGGCGTTATATCTATCCTAATAGTAAAGGTTACGGAAAGAACTATTTATATAATAGTATAGTTTAATTTATTTACTCTTTAATATATAAATAGCTAATATAGATATAATAAAAAGAGGGGGTTAATCCTAGTTAAGTCTTACTTTAGCCTAGTTAATACTATTTTTATAAGCCTTACCTATATTTAATTTAATTAGCTTATTCTTCCCTCCCCCTAACTAGAGGGTAACCGTTACCCCGAACGTTCTAGAAGGATTTCTATCTTTATTAATAAAAGACGTAATCTTTATCTTTTACTATTATTATCGCCCGCTATAGATAAGGCTATTTTAGGTCTAATAGCCTAGAAGATATAAGAGCTATTTATAATTTATAGAATTAAGGATAGTAAGGAGCACCTTAATCTAGTTATCGCCTACACTATTAATTATAGTAAGTTAGCCCCCGCTAACGTCTAAGAGAATAGATTATTAATAGTCGCTTTAGTTTATAAAGCTCGACTTATAATTACTAGAGGCGCGACTAAGCCTATTTCTTAGGCTAAGGAAGCGACTATAGAAACCCCTCCGACTCTACTATATAATACTTATAGGTCCTATCGACTTATAAAATAGATAGGGAAAGAGGGTCCTATAACCTATAGCGATATAGCTAGTATAGAGAAGAAGAAGAAAAAGAAGAGAAAAAGAAGCTACTAGTCGGAGTTAATAGATTAACCGCCTAGTTCGTTAGTAGTTAATAGAAATAGGATAGCTAAAGATAAGGTAC